TTATTAATCTGGTCACTGCAAAAATATTGCTTCAGAGGTTGTCACACAAGACACAAAATTGGAGGTCAAAGTCAAAGTTGGGATTGATTTTTATTGTGAGTTTATTATTTGCTGACACCATACTAATTACTAACATTCATAGTAAATACATAACGTTTAATTTTCTCTTTCAAAGTGAGAGTTCAGAAGAATTATCAACTAAAGCCAATAGTGCGGAAGAAGAAGGTGAAGGTGAAGTTAACAATGAAGCACAGAAAAGCAAACACAGAAGTCGGAAGAGGAAACACAAACGCCATCACCACCACCACAAACGGAAACACCACAAACACTCAGGGGAAGATGACAGAAAACACAGACATAAAAGAAAACACAAAAAGCACAAATCAAGAAAATCTGAATCATTGCCATCTAAGGAGCATTCTTATAAAAAAATAAACATTGACCATGAGAGTGTGGATCTTGTTGACCTTGAAAAACAGAAGGAACTACTGCAGGCACAGCTTGCTGGAAATTTAGATTTCAAAGACAAGTCAGCAATATCACTAATAGCACAAGGGTATCAATCCTCTGAAGATGAAGAAGAGGGACAAATATATGAGCAAAATGAGAATGATGCAGCTATAGACAATGAAATAAAACAACTCTCGCCTCCGAGGAAAGGCAGGGTAAATGATTATAGCCCGGTAATTGCAGCAAAACATAAACGATCAAGAAATAGACATAGTAGAAGTCCCTCTGTGGAAAGAAGAAGATCAAAACGTAGTCAGTCACCTAGAGATAAAAAACATTCAAGACATCGCAGTGCATCACCTAGACACAAGATACGCAAAAGGAGTAAATCTCCAAGAAAGCGTAGTAAATCACCGAAAAGAAATCGCTCTCCAAGAATGCGTAGCCGATCTCCGAGAAAACGTAGTAAATCACCAAAACGAAGAAGTAAATCTCCAAAACGAGAGAACCGGAGGCGGAAAAGTAGATCTCGTAGCAAGTCACCAATTAAAAAGAGACCTCGCTCTCCACTCAGGCAGCCTATGCAAACTACCAGACAAAGCCCCCCAAGGTTGGTAAAGAATTTATTCTGTGTAGGATATGCTATGGATGCTAGTGATACATGTTTGTTTTTATGAATTTATTGTGTTGATTGCAATTTTTTTTTTTAAATTTTCTGTGTTCACAATTAGGATTTCGCCAGCTAGACGAATGAGCGAGTCACCAAGGAATATAAGTACACCTCAACTCCAGAATAGAAGTCGATCACCATGGAGGAGATCGAGAAATAGGTCACCCATGCCACGGAGAGGTGGGGGGTCTGCATATGATAGAAGGCGGAGTCGATCACCGAGGAGACGCGAAGGACCATGGAGACGTAGTAGGTCACCAAGATATCGACGGAGTCGATCTCCTGGCAGGAGACATGAGAATTCTAGTAGCAAGCTAGATAAATATAAAGGCAGTCTATCAGAAGGATTGACACAAAATAAACAAGAATCTTCTGATGAAGAGTAAGTACCGTATTTGTCTTCAATTAATTAGTCGCCACTTTGTTACACTTTCATTTCATGGTGGCGCTTATTTGTGGTTAAATTTGAGCAACTTTGTTTCAAATGGCGCTTATTTCAAGCACTTCAAGTTCTAGTACCAGTAACTGTGTTACAAGCCATTGTTTTTGCTCCATTCTGGTGATAGATTATTGGCAATATTTTACATTACAGTGTGACGCTTAGTCACTGTAGCCTTTCTTTTAAATACTGAGTAAATGCCTCGTCTAGAAAGTTATACAAAAATTATCCTTTAGAAAACATTCACAGTTTGCCGTACAATCAACAGAAAAATAAAACAAACACAAATGCATCGCTTAGTGGTCAATGATCACAGTAGCAAAATCCGGTCATGCTGCATTCCACGGTTACGATTATTACTCAGTAGTAATTATAATAACGTACAAAAAATAAAATGCAAGTAAAATTCAACTTAAGGTAGAGATGCAGTTTATTTGGCTTGCTTTTTAATTGAGTAATTAGACAATGAAGATGGTATTATATATCCAACATGTTATATATTTTCTGAAAGCTTATTATACAAACTTTGTAAAACTTGTCTTTATTTTAAATATCCAGAATGCGTTTTTGATTTTGGGTCAAAAATATGCTTTTTTGGACAAAAGTGGTTTAAAAAAAATTAGCTTAAAAACTTCAAGTCCATTTGTGGGTAAAATTACATCACTGGATACCTTGGTATACTACTAATTCAAATGCGTCCACTCATCTCTCTAACGA